CCTTATCGAAAGTCAGTTAAAAAATTATATCTCCTACATCATTATAGCTAGAGTGTACAAATTTTAAATATATATTAAGACGTATTTTATACAATTTCGGTTTTTGTTAAATATTATCTCTGGTCAGTGATATTAATAAATATTTTCAAGAAAACTGGACTAAATGTACCAGTTCTATCGAACTTTAGCATACATAGTATCACCACACCACTAAGCAGGCAACAAATATTCTCTGCTTAGTGGTATTATATCGAAGAATCATACGTGCCTATAAAATTATCGATATATGTATATCAATTTAAGATGCGCCACCACATACTTACAACGCAACAGCTGTTTGGCCTTCCACTGGTTTTATAGCTCAGTGTTTGACAAAAAAGAAATAGTCGACTTTATTTTAAGACATTAAAAATGTTGTCACTGAGTTTAAAACGTGCGCTAGGAGTTGGAACACAACTGTTTAAAACACCGTCTATTGCACTAACGTCAGCAGCAGTAGGTGGCGGTAACAGCTTGAGGTGAAGTACATTACTTACATAACCTTTCTATCTGAAAAAAAAAAGGATTATAAACTTTTCTACTTATATTCTTCGACCAGCTCGAACCAATATCGCGGCGCTGCAAAATGGTATCCAGATCCTGAATTCATGAAACAATTTAGCGGCGCAGTTATGTATCCCGATGAAGTGACCTCCCTTTGGAAGGTTCCTCCATGGAACAGTACGTTTTATGCTATGCTTTCCATATACATATATGTACATATATCCAAATTTTGTGTGTGTTACAGGCAAAGTGGTGCCTGTTGAGAAATCAGTGCGCAATCTGACGTTAAATTTTGGACCTCAACACCCGGCTGCTCACGGTGTCTTGAGACTGGTGCTAGAACTGGATGGCGAGGTTAATGCCTGCAAATTCGTCCAATGTATTTCTCTATTTTTGTTTTGTTTTTTGGTTTCGTTGTTACCTGTTAGACTGTAATGCGCGCTGATCCCCACATTGGCCTTCTACATCGTGGTACCGAGAAGTTAATCGAGTATAAGACCTACACTCAGGCACTACCATACTTTGATCGCTTGGACTATGTTTCGATGATGTGCAACGAACAGTGCTACTCGCTAGCTGTGGAGAAACTTCTAAACATTGACGTGCCACTGCGCGCCAAGTATATAAGAAGTAGGTAGTCGTGTGCAAGTAGTTATGGGAGAGGAACAGTCCTTGCCTCTCTATTCTTAACTAATAAGGGTAGAGTGACAACTCCGCTTCGCTCATAAATTATTTTCTGTAGATGTCCAGTTATCTTCTATTCCCTGTATTTAATTTATTTTATTTGTTTTCAGCTCTTTTCGCTGAAATAACTCGAATTCTCAATCATATAATGGCTGTTGGCACTCATGCATTAGATGTGGGTGCACTGACTCCATTTTTTTGGCTATTTGAAGAGCGTGAGAAGTTAATGGAATTCTATGAGCGCGTTTCGGGAGCACGTATGCATGCAGCCTACATACGTCCCGGTGGAGTTTCATTAGTAATATTATTTAATCGCTATATGTATATATAAATTAGATAATTGGTCGATTTGCTTTAAAGGACATGCCATTAGGTCTTCTGGATGATATATATGAGTTCGCATCAAAGTTTGGTGAGCGTTTGGATGAAGTTGAGGATGTTCTGAGCACAAATCGGATCTGGGTGCAACGTACTGAAGATATTGGAATTGTTTCGGCCGAAGAGGCGCTTAACTATGGATTTAGCGGCGTAATGTTGCGCGGCTCTGGCATCAAATGGGATTTGCGCAAGCAACAGCCCTACGATGCCTATCATCTTGTTGATTTCGATGTCCCGATCGGAACCAAAGGAGATTGTTATGATCGGTATTTGTGTCGTATTGAAGAAATGCGTCAATCCTTGCGCATCATCGATCAATGTCTTAATCAAATGCCACGTGGAGAGGTGAAGACCGATGATGCGAAGGTAACACCACCATCTCGCAGCGAAATGAAAACATCCATGGAGGCCTTAATTCATCATTTTAAGCTATTCACCCAAGGATATCAGGTGCCACCAGGGGCAACCTATACGGCAATCGAAGCCCCAAAGGGTGAATTTGGTGTCTACCTGATATCAGATGGCTCAAGCCGTCCATATCGCTGCAAGATTAAAGCACCAGGATTTGCCCATTTGGCAGCCCTAGAGAAAATTGGTAAGCAGCATATGTTAGCCGATGTGGTTGCTATTATTGGAACCTTGGATGTGGTTTTTGGCGAAATCGATCGATAACTGTTTTTACTGCGTACTAGTTAATAGTTTCAAATAAATATATATACTCTACAAGAAAAATTTAAAGCAAACAAGTTTAATAAACACACGGTAATGTAATGTTTTCTTAAACTTTTTGGGATACCATAGATTTTTTCAGATTAAATTTAGTTTGATCCAAAGTCGTACTAAGAAATACAAAATAGGTAACAGCGTATCTAATCGTTGTATAACATAACAATAACAAGTAAGAACGTTGCAGTCGGGCTATACCGACTACGGAATACTCATTCACACTCCATCATCAATTTAGTAGCTAAGTTTTGCTCTAATACTGTAGATCATCTTCTCGATTTGCCACGATAGGTGAGGTTACTAGTAACTTAACTACCAACATTTGATGCTTCTAGCTCTTATACTTTAGGAGATATAAACTTTTGCGGTTTGCTCCTGTGAGCAGACATATGTATATCCAAATCTACATTCCGAATTTCTGCTTTCTGGCTCTTCAACTAATATGATTTCTGGCATTTTCCGATTTGCCACGTATGTATTCCATACCATTCTAGTTTCCGTTCAGACGGACAGCAAGACGGACATTGTGCAAAACCAGTATCCTCATTTCACTTTCGTGAATGAAAATAAAAATTGGTATTAGTCATCGACGTGTTGTGTTAATACTCTATCGGTTTGGCTTTGTAGTTCAAAAGTTGATATCTAATGTAATAAATGAATTTCAATGTGTGTTTGTGAATACAGTCGCGAGATGGAGAAAGCCGATAATAATCTATGTCATTTAGCCTTTTAGTAGTAGTAGTTGATTAAAACATAAATTATATGTATATATTAATATTTGTATTGCATGACCAGATCTTTTATTTCATTTTTGTTTTATTTTAACTATTTTTATCATGAAGTTTTTCAGAAAATCTCTTAATATCTGAATATGCCAAATAACATTGAAGATTAATTTACTATTATAAAAACGAATATTTTATTTTTTCATACTTAAATGTCGCTCATATCGTGTTTTTGGTATCTGAGGGCATATTATATATATATAATTTATATTTTTATACTCATTTGTATCATATTTTATGTTTAGTATATCCATTGAATAGGCAAAAATTTTATTTTAAATAACATTAGGTTTTAATATTTCTTTTTTTGACATATGCGTATTTATAATTATTTCTTTCAATTAAACATACACACATATATATTTTGCTATGCATTCCTTTTATTTTATCACCTAATAAGTTTTTTGTTTGGTTTTGTTTTATACTACGTGATCACATTGAAACTTTTGTTTTATAAACTTTTTTTAAGTTCTTTAATTTTAAGACTTGTTTGTTTAATTTTACATAACATATTTCTCTAGAAGCTTTAACAATTTTAACATTTTTATATTTAGGTTGATATTTGAATAGCTTTCTAAATATACATATATAGATCAACAAGCTGTCTTTTTCTATTTTCGCTGTATTTAACATAGTAGATGAATTTTTAATTGGTCAATATTCACAGACTAAGCAATTAAAATAAGCAACATAATAGATCTAAATAAATATTCTAAAAATGTATACAATCAGACGTATGTATGTATATCTATTTGATTCAATATATATAAATATATATTTAATGTATAAGAAAAAAAAAAAAGTAAAAGTGCCCTAGTCGAGGCTGCTCGACTAGGATATATCCTAAGCCCTTCAATCTGATATTCTAATCTTCTGTTCTTCTTCTTCTAATCTTTAATTCTGCACTTCTTTTATGCCCATATATGCACATATTTGTACATACACATGCATCCGCACGCATAAGCACGCGCAGTTAGCAGCGACTTTGCTGCTGCAGTGTGAACATTATTATGAGAATTTATTTCCAATCAAAATCTTTGAATTACAAAATTGGTGTATTCATCAAGTTTCTAGGTGTAAAAGTATTCAAATTATGTTAAAAAAAAAAACGAAATGTATGATCGATTATTCTCAATAAATAAGAAATCGGGTGAGTTATCGAAAAAATATAATAAACTCGTATTGCGTATGGTATACAAGGATATGCATACAAAAGTATATATATCATCTTATATATTCTAAGACTGATGGCTATATCGACGCAGCAACTTGCCCTGATCAAGAATATTATACTTTATGGGGTGTACGACGATACTTTCAAAACAATTATACCCTGATTTCTCATTTTAAATGGCTTCAGGACATAAAAAGGAAACAATTAGGCTGAACAGAAAATAATTTGAATTTTCCTTGGCTAGCAGCATTAAAAATTCCAAGCATATTATGTACAACTACTTTATAGTGAAGTACTATCCACAGATTTCTGATTTTCTGAGTGCGAATCAGGTATTTGAATAGACCTTTAGCGGTAGGTTTTCCAAATGGAAAAATAATAGTGATCGTGAGCGCTATCGTCACGACCCAAGATCTAATCTTTCAACCTCTTGCGCTCTTGTGTCACTCTTCAAGTAGAAAATGTCTTTAATATCAACATATATTCCGTTAGTATATAGTATCTAAAATATGTTTGAGAGAGCATTTGTTTCTTCAGTTTACATTTACAAAACTAAATGTGCAGATTGGCATACGTTAATTCAATTTCATTTTCTTTTAAAATGAGGGAGGTGGGAAAATGGTCTTTCTTTATAATACGCATTTGCTATTGCCTTATAACCATCAACCGATAATTAAAGCAACTAATAAACAATAAACATTTTCTAATATATAGTGTGAATCTTTCTAAATGCTACATTTCTATTTATATAATAATATTTTCTCTACATATATATTTCTTCGAGCCATTGTTTACATTTCATATCAAGAGATGATATTTTGACAGAAAAAAGATCACATGTTTTTGGGTTTATTTTTAGTAGCTGGCATAATACATAAAAACTATTTACATATCCGTCAGGCCATGATTAATTTTGTTGTTTTGTGGAGTGGGGGAGATGGATCCACATTAAATATTTTATCTCTACATCAATAACTTTTCCAGCTTCCACCGTATTCTACATTATCCGTTAGTCATTCTCCACTCCACTTTTCATCGCTATTCCTTTTCTATTTTGTCTGATCCGCATTCCGCTATACTGTCCACACTACCTTCTCCATTTTCTATCTATTTTTCACTATCCACGATTTGCAAAACTCGATTCTCCATTATCCATATTGATTGATGCTGTCCATTATCCATTATCCTTTCTCTACTCATCTCCTCTACTGTCCATCCGTCACTATCCAGTTGTATTGCTCGATACGCAGACGATAATTTAAAAAAATAAAACGTTTTAAATTTATGTTTAGTGTGTACATCTCTTGTTGGATAACTATATATTAGTTTTTAATTCATTATTGCACATTATTTAAGACTGTTAGCTGTTGATGGTACAATGTTGTCGGCAGTATTAGTATCAGGAGACTTTTTTATTTTATCGCAATAATCGTTGAAAATATCGCGAAATCGTAGCCAACACTTTTCAGGTATAGTTATAGAAGTACGAAAATTATTCTTCACCTTAAAAAAATTTTAAACGTTTAGTATAGAGTATGGTTGATAGGAACAATTGGTACGAGCATTTCAAAACTTTTTTACCTCACTTATTCGCATGTAAACACCTCGATTATTTTGTCCTATATCAAAGTAAAAGTTCTTGTTGTCCACTTTCATATGCCGCTCTTCGGGTAAATCACCTTTAAATCTGCAAATGTTACCAAGAGGTTTTTACTTTCCGTATTAATTTAAGATATATGTCATCACTATTGATAGATCATCAAAATTAATAGTCAGGCAGAAAAAAAGTTTATCGCCGTCAGCACTCTTGACTGACACTCTTAAATGCGATAATGTTATTTTTATGGCTTATAACATAATCACATTTCTTCTGATTTTTCATATCGATAATAATCGACAATTTTACATAATTTTTAAGCGTAACTTATCTTATAAAGTTGGTGACTTAAGATGTAGTGCAAGATGTAGATAAGAACAAGGCTGCTCTAATCGAGACTGCCTGACTAGGAGATACCCTGCCCAGAACTGATACTCCAACCTTTCTGTACTAGTATGACTCATTGTAAATGGGAAATCGGAGAATAATGGTTGTGCTGAAATGTATGTAACACACAGAAGGAAGCTTGGCAGAACCCATAAAGTATATACATTTTTAATCAGGAACCCCGAGATCTCAGAAGAGCTAGAGACATGAATCACTTTTAGATTTGGGTTACGAAAATATACGAAAGTACATCTTGCGCTCGGCCGAGATCGACTGTTGAACAAAAGATCCCGCTGTGCAAAAAGTTTTACACTACTTGTCCGGTCTATGTGTTCTATAGTTAATAGTACCCCTAACCAGAGAACACATCGGATCGGATACCTAGTGTAAAGCGTTTTGCACACATATTTTCGAGCATTAGTTTCCTGGCCGTTCGTATTTGCTCAACTTCTCACTTTTAAGTTTGTGCTACGAAAATATGAGAAGTCCCCATTGGGAACACAAAATCATTTCTCTTCATGCGCTCGACCGATTTGGTCGACTCTTGAAAAAAAGATCCCTCTATGCTAAAAGTTTCCCTTGCTCTCTCTCCCTCTCTCTCTCGATGCTCTCTGCTCTCTCAAATGTGTATATATATGTATACATGTGAGCACAACCCAGTGGCAACGACCTGAATGAGGTTTCTTGAAATAATGCATTACATACGAGAAAAAAGTAATGCATTACCTATGGAAATTTTTTTCAGCGCATTTGTAATGTACAAAATAAAAAGTGCTACTCATACGACAGAATCGAGCTCTTGTCAACTTCGTTTTTGTATGCCCCTTCCCCGCTAATCATCAAACGATTTTCGTTTTTCGTTGCGTCGTGAATTTTTCGACGAATTTCGTTTTGAATTTTAACGTTTGTTGCATGGAATGCGTGCCTTTTTTCGTTTGGTCTTTGTTTTTTTGGTCTATGTCTATTCCTTTTGTGTGTATAGTGTTAATGAGTGTAAATACAAGTCCAAAATTGCATATGTGTGATGATTTTTGTTTTCGTTTTATCCGCCGTGACGACTCACTTTTCTAATTTTGTTGAGCCGTGCGGACGTGAATTTAAAGGGAAGGTATTCTACAGTAAGTTATAAATATATAATATATATTATAAATTGGCTTGTTGCATTATATTAGTGAAAGCAGTTCAGATATACGAACGATGCTCTGTCTGGTATGTATAAATTATCTTAATATAATTTTTAATGACAAAAAATAATGTTTACTTAACAGATGCTATTAAAACCTATGGGTGGACAGGAACTGCTTTCGGGGTCACAAGGGTCAGCTTACAAAGCAGAAATTTGATAAAAAACCACAAATAATTATATAAATAAATACGTAATATTACAAAATAAATTATTCTTATAAATTTAAATAAAAAATAGTACATTACTGAATCGTTTCTATATTTCCATTAGTATTCAATTATTTATGCAATTACATTTGTAAAGAAGTAGGCCAAATTATAGAGTGGGAAAATGGGTTGCAGGTATATTATGTTGTAATGTACGCAAATTGCTAACCCATAAGCGGTTTTGAAAATGTATAAGGCGTTTTCTTCAGATTGCGGAATTTCTACATTACAATATTTAAAAAGTATACGTATGGGTAATGAAGAGCCGAAGGAAACTTCGTCACCTCATTACTGTCTGCATTACGAAATTACGAAAAACAATTTCATGCACCCGGGAGAAAAAGCGGTCATTCCTTAAAAAAGTAAGGCAGCTTGTAATCGATATTTTCATGCACACAGGCGACAAGTAATCCATGAGTAATGGACAAAATAATGGACATTTCCTCCACTGGGAAGCAGCAGCTCACGTAAATTGAAAATTCTTCGCAGCAACCCATGCCTTCCCTTCTGTATGAAGAGTATACCGAACTTATCAAACCGTTTGCCAAGCTCGTACAAAATATTTGCGTTTTCGTTATTTGGGGGAAGGGTATGAAAGCGTTGGTGCTCTTAATGAAAATGCTTTTGCAACGTGCCAAATTGTTAGCTTCGCATCCCATACGCCCTCTGTGTTGCCGTTTTTCCCCGAGCGAAACCAGCTGAATTAGGGAAAAAAATTGGCAAGAACCAGCTGAATCCCAGAAACAAATAGCTGAAAAATGAGCTAACATATTAGAACGTTTTTTTTTTTTTTTTTTATATTGTTACTAGCTGGCCCGGCAAACGTTGCATTGCCCTATCCATTATTTCTAGGTAAACAATTGTTGAAAGCTATGTTGTT